ACCCAAAATATATGATGTTCAGCATTGCTAAAAAGCTGATCTCACAGAATCAGAGAATAGAATAGTGGTCCCCAGAGCCTGAAGGGGAACATGGCAGAAAAGGGTATGAAGAGAAGATAGATAACAAATACAGGGGTGCTGGTGGATAACTTTCAACCTTCCAGAGCAAAGTGGTTTAACTGGTTAACAACACTTAAATTCAATACTTACTTCAGAATCGCTAGTGGAGAAGGTCAGCACAAATTATTAATGTCCTAAGTGAGACAATCCAATTACCCTGATCTGATTGTTGTACATTGCATACATTATTGAAACATCATGCAGTAATCTATAAATATGTATGATTACTTTGTGTGAATTGAAAGTGCTTCACAAAGCTGTTAATGCTCTGCAAATTAATCAGTCCTTTTCTAGAAATCGATAAGCTGATTGGTTTTATTTTAGAATTATTTTAGATTTATAATATAGAAAAGTTGCAAAAATGATAGAGTTGCTGCATACTCTTCCCTCAGTTTTCCATAATGTTAATTTTTTCAGCGCCTCATGGATTTGTGCTGCCACTGAGCTACATGCCCAGCCCGAATGCTAACATCTTCCAGGGAGTGGCCCAAATGGGACAGCTACAGCAGTAAAGCAGCACAGACGGTTCAGAGGAGACCCATACTTACACTCAGTCAGTTTTCAGCAAAGACGTGAAAACAGATCAGTGAAGAATTGTTTTTTCATCAGATGGTCCCGGTACAACAAAAGATACTGAGAAAGCTGCCTATGGTCACCAAGTTTATGAATGACGGGGCAAGAATTCCAAACCAGACTTTGCGGCTGATGTGTTATAAATTATGCATTTGTAATCAACATGTTTAGGCCACAATAATTTTTCCACATGAAAATCACTGTGAAGCTATATTCTTTTTGCGATTTTTATTTTTTTATTAGTACATGTTTGTAGTATATAATGATCACATTCCTCGTGGGGAGCTGGGACATGCACATAACACATTGTGATTCTTTTTTTTTTAAATCCTCCTCCTCTGTCCTCCCTCCCACTCCCTCTATCTCTTTGTGCCCGTCCCATTTGCACAAGATCCATCTCTCTATTTTCTATTATCTTTTATTTTGCTCTTTATATGTTGGATTTCTCATAGAAGAGAAACCATGTGATATTTAAGCTTGTGTGTCTGACTTAGTCACTTAACATTATGGTCTGGGCTGTACTCTTTAAAAATGTCAGTTATGAAAGAAAAAGATAGGAAATGTTCTGATTAAGACACTAAAGAGGCATAAATAAACTATTATATGATCCCAGATTGGATCCTGAGTTACACACACTAGCTACAAAATTCCACAAAGGACATTCATATAATAATTATAAAGTGATAGGTTAGATAATACGGTTTTTGATGTTTTGTTTTTATTTTTGAGATAGCATGTCTTTTTATATTGCCCGAGGTGGCCTCATATTACTGGGCTCAAGTGATCTTCCTGCCGCAGGCTTCTAGATAACTGGTAGTATAGGTGTGGGCCACTGTACCCAGCTCTAGGTAATTTTGTAGGACTGTTAAGTCCCTGACTTTGATAATTATTCTGGGGTTATGTAACAATATGTTCCTATTCTTAGAAGATACATGGAAAACTATTTGAAGGTAAAGTATCATTATGTCTGAAATGGCTCAGCACTATTATTTATAGGGGATTGAACTCGGGACCTTGTGCGGCAAGGCAGGCGGCAAAACTACTGAGCTAAATCCCCAGCCCAGCTCAGCCCTATTAACAACAATAAAAATATATGGGAGAAGCCAAGTGTAGTGGCATAGGCTTGTAATCCCAGCACTCCAGAGGCTGAGGCAGGAGGATTGCTGTGAGCTTGAGGCCAGCCTGGGCTACATAGTGAGTTCAAGGCCAGCCTGACTACATCGTGAGTGAGACCTTGTCTCAACACACACACACACACACACACACACACGAAATAAAATATTAAAAAATATTAACAATTGGTAAATCCAAGTCAAAAGTATACGAGTTTATAGTATTATCCTTGCAATTTACCTGTTTTGAAGTTTTTTAGTATTTAAATAATAACTCAAGCACCTTTAGTATGACACTAATTCCACTTACCATGATACAAATTCAGTCTCATCATTTATGGATGTTCCTCTCCTACTCCAGGGTTTTACTTAGTGCAACACATTCAGGAAAGGCCATCTGCTTTCAGTGCAGTGATTGATCACTGTGTGAGACTGACAATCTCCACACTGGGGTTCATGTGAATCTTTTTTTTTTTTGGCTACCAGGGATTGAACTCTGGACCTTGCTCTTTCGAAGCAGGCGGTGGAACCACTGAGCTAAATCCCTGGCTCATGTTAATCACTTAATTGGACCTTCTCACATCAAGAGTCCAGTCTTCCTGCATGCATTGTAACCCTTTTCCTCTGAAGTCCTGTCACCTGCCAAGTCCCATCAAGGAGCCAGTGGAGGTCCCGCTATTGGAAGAAATCCCCAACCACTCTCCTCTTGCCAGTTTCGGAAATCTCTCCCCACCCCAACTTCGTACCTGCTTTTGCCTTTGCTGCACTCCCAAATATATTTCTCCTATCTCCCACTTCGCTGAGAGGTTCTCCCGTTCTATTCTCTCTGTCTTTAAAAAAATAGTTGGATTCACTTTCCTAGATGGAGGTAGAAAAGGAAATGCTGCTTAATTTTACTAACTCATTATATGTGTGAGGAGGACGTTTTTAGTAGGCTTCAAAAAGTTGTTTCCCAAAGGTGTTCACAGACAGACTACATCAGCATTACTCAAATATTGCTCAAAATGTTGATTTCTGGTTCTATACCAGAGTCTCTGGAAGTGAGACAGAGAATCTACATTCTTAACACAGCTTTTCTAGAAGACTCATGCACCCTGAAGTGAGAATCATTCGTTTAACAAACGTGTTTAGAGTTGGATTTCTTTGCATTTGGCATGTGTAGTATTTTTGTTTCTTTTAGATAGATTGTTTCTTATATTACCTTTCTATCATCAGAGCCTATTACAGGACTGTGACAGTAAATTTTCAGTAAATATCCCTGAAATGAATGTAAATATTTTCAGAAGATCTTAGGAATAAATGAGATTTCTCTTATAGTTTCAGTCTAATTAGGGAGGTAAGATATGCAACGTTAAAGTTTACAGATACAGTGCTTTTCCTAAAATAGCATATTCTTAGAAAGCTTGGACCCCCTGGAGCTCAGAACAGTAGGTGATTTTGTGAAAAAGGAAGAAATTGAGAAACTTGAGAAGTTGAGAAGGCACAGGAAGGCAGAAGATATGATAACTGTGTGCACCTGAGATGACCACAGTGCGGCTGTAAAACCAGCAGGTTTAGGAGTCAGAGGTTGGTGCAGAAGGCTTACAAAGGGAAAGATGGAAAGAGCCTGCAATTGTGGAGTCCCGAATGGTAGTCTGTGAGTGGCAGGAGGGAAGTGACATTTTAGGATGAATCATCTTGTCAGTTAAAAATAAGTAGCTCACAGACACTTGCACATTCACCAAACTTGGAATTCCAAAATGCCAGGATCTCTAGCGGAGGACAGTTAAGGTGAATTCTATTTTATGGCTTTTTTTTTTTTTTTTTTTTTTTTTTTTTTTTTTTGGTACTGGGGATCGAACTCCGGACCTTGAGCTTGCGAGGCAGGCAGTAGAACCATTGAGTTAAATTCCAGGCCGAGGTGAACTCTATTTTAGATCACGTAAAAACTAAGAGTGTAGATAGGTCCCTGATCACCAAATAATTTGTTTAAAAATCAGATGCTTCAATATGGAGATACCTCAAAGAACTAGGATTAGAGGTTCTATTTGACCCAGCCATCCCTCCGCTGGGTATCTTTCCAAAAGAATTAAAAGAGTCATACCACAGTGATACTATGCACACCCATGTTTATAGAGGCAAAATTTGTAATAGCTAAAATGTGGAAACAGCCCATTTGCCCATCAATTGGAGACTGGATAAAGAAGATGTGGTTTTCCTATAAAATGGAATACTACTCAGCCATAAAGAAAGATAAGTTAGAGTCATTCATAGGAAAATGGATTCATATTGAGGATATACTCTTAAGTGAAATAAATAAGTCATACATGTATAAATACTGAATAGTTTCTCTGGTGTGAAAAACTATAATTGTACATAAGATCCTAATGATATAATTGACAATATGAAATAGGAAGAAAAGGACTAAAGGTGTAGAGGAAGTGGGAAGGGTAGGGGAAAGGAAATAAGAGAAAAGAAAAAAATACGAGAAAATGAAAAAAGGGAAATAAAGAATTTGTAAATAGGGAAGGGAGGAGGGGATAAAGGGAGGGCAGGGGTAAGGGGAAAAAATGAGGACCAAGACCTGTCATGTAAAGGTATAAGATCCCAATGAAGAATGTATCCACCGTATACTTAAAATGTACCAATAAACTCAATGAGAAAAAAAAATAAAATAAAAATCAGATTCTTGGTAGTGGTAGAAACGTGGGATTACTTCATCCCCTTCCTAAATTTTGCTGGCCTAAGGCTGAGGGCCAGTCGCCTTGCATTCCTAACACCGGCTATCTTTTCTGTAGTGATTACTGTATAAGAGCTTTAAAGAAACTATCTCATTTAATTTGCCAACCCCTTCTGTAAGGAGGAGGTTAGTTATCATGTCCATTTTACTTGAAGGAAAACTGAACCTTAAGGAGGCGTATTTCCCATATGACAGGCGGGAGGTAGCAAAGATATAAACCTGGAGCTGGACAGAGGCTGTCTGGGAAAAACAAGCTTCGTGTAAAAGTAAAGGAAGCGGGACTCGGGGGAATTCTGTAGACTCGGTCCCCTCTTTGAGGACGCCTCAAACCCAAGGGCCTTAAAAATGAAACGGAACCTCTTCTGAGGCAATACCTACCAACTCGGCCCCATCAGGCACCTTTCCAAAATCACAGCATCTGATTGGCAAGGATGGAGGGGCTGGACGACTCTGATTGGCTAGATAGATCTCGAACCAGGTTAACCCGGTTACGGAAGCCGAAGAAGGCAGAGAGCGGACTGCCTGTAGGAAGTTTAACTGAAGAAATCCAGGTAGCGGTGGTGAATAGGTTATCTCGGGCCCAATGGCGACCGTGGAGGGTACCGGCAGCGGCGAGAAAGAGCAGGGCGGCGAGAAAGAGCAGGGCGGCGAGACCTCAGTCACTTACTATCGGTTGGAGGAAGTGGCGAAGCGCAACTCTGTGAAGGAACTATGGCTGGTGATCCATGGGCGAGTCTACGATGTCACCCGCTTTCTTGACGAGGTGGGGCCCTGGAGGTGGGGGCCTCCGGGAGCTACGGGGATGAGGGGTGCAAAGGCTGCGCGGAGTGTCATAGGATGGAAATGAGCCCTGGCTGAGGGCGGTAATTTACAAACGGGCCCACAGCCCTCAGAAACAGGGAAGGGGTCTTGGCTCTGCATGTGTTTCCAGCCAGCCCGAAATTATCTTCCTAGTGTAATGTAATGTATTACTGATGCATTAAACACTTGTGTGCTAGGTTGACTCTAAGCCATAATTGTCTCCGTTTTACACAAAGGGAAACTGAGGCTTAAGAGAGGCTGAGGACACTCAAGGTCACACAATTAACGGCCTAGGTCGTTAGAACCCAGGTCTCAAATGTTCCTTATCTGTGTTCTTTTCCAGTGTGCTTTCTGAAGTAATACTGTTTTGGGAGAAGAAATAATACCTTCTTGAAAATCTCAGGTTTTTTTTTTCTTTCCCCATGGGGTTTTGCCCCCCTCTCTATTTTGAGTTGATCTCAGGACCAAAAAGATCCTGAGTTGACTTTTTCTTTTTGGCCGCTTAGATTCCCTTGCCTTTTTTAAATCTTTCAACCTGTTGTATTAGATCGCATTGCATAAGTTCTCTTGGAAACCATTGTGCAACTGAGTGATTTTTTTTTTTTAATCTAAGGAGACAGGAGAGACTTTTTCACTTATTTAAACTAATTTTATTGAGGTGTGATTTTATACACTTAATTGTGCCCATTAAAATGGTACAGTTTGATGCATTTTGACAAATGTATTCGCTTGTAATCAAAACTCCACTTAAGAAATAGATCGTTTCTGTTACACTAAAAGTTGTTTCTTGCTCCTTTGTTGTCATTCTCCCCAGCGCCAGGCATCCACTGGTTTGCCACTACTAATTAATTAATGATATTATTTTATTTTGAGTAATAGATTAATACCTGTGAGTTCTTTCCTTCCTTCCTTGTTTCCTTGTTTCCTTCCTTCTTCCCATTCTTGACCTGGTCTCACTGTTAGCCCAGGCTGGCTTTGAACTTGCAGCGATCCTCCTGCCTCAGCCTGCCAAGTGCTGGTGTTTCAGGCATGTGCCACCACACCTGGCTGTGATCAATTTCTTGTAATAACCTTGCCTAATATAACCTTAATGTAACTGGGGGGAAAAAAGTTTATTTCTATTCTTTTTCTCTGAGGCAAATATACTAGTAAAGTTTTTTTTTTCCTGTTAATTTGGGGACTAGGGAAAAATTTGGTGCATACATACAGTTGACTTATAATTCTGTAAAAAACTTTTAAAACTTAAAGTCTCTCAAGAAGGATGTTGTGCTAACAAATCTTCCCACTGGACAGTAAGCTAAGCTCAAGAATTGAGTAACTTGTTGAATTTGAGTAGTACATGATATTTCATGCTTTTTTTCTTTTTCAGTGCTGGGACTTGAACCCAGAGTTCATGCGTGCTAGGCAAGCACTCTACCACTGAACTACATCCTCAGCTTCATCCTCAACAAAACTAGTTGATAAGCATAGGACTTGCTAGGAATAATCCTTATTTTAACAGGTACAGTGGACCCTTGACTTACAAACTCAGTTTGTTTCCAAGGACTAGTTGTAACTAAAATTGGTCAGTTGAAGGCTCAGGCTCTTTTACACACCTTCAAAGTCTCTCTCCTGTATTCAGGCAGCTCTCAGTGTCCTTAGAGAGACATTGGCCCAGGATTTCTGAGTTTACCCCACCCAGGCAAGGATGTTATATTGTTCCTTCCAGAACTCTTTCAGGGTTGAATCTATATCTGAGACCATCTGGAAGTTCTAGTGGCTGGCATTTGGGTCATAACTCAAGACTTTGTTCATAAGTTAAAGCTAAAATTTATAACCCAAGTTATTTGTATGTCAGGCTGGTCATAACTTGAGGTCCACTATATAAGAAACAGTTTCAGAGAGATATAATTAATTAATGACAATCTGGTTTAGACAGATGCCTTCATTTTTCTTGTCTCTGTAGCATTACTACAAAATTCTAGCGTTAGCTATTTCCTCTATGATTGACCTGATGGTAAGTTTGTTATGCATATTTCATAGTGGGTAGGCAGTTTTTTTTTCATTTGTGGTGATTCTTATGATTTTATTTTCCTAGAATTTCTTCTTCTTCTTCTTTTTTTTGAATGGGGGTGGTTTGAGATAGGATCTCACAATGTAGTTGAGGCTGACCTGGAACTCACAATGTAGCCCAGGCTAGTCTCAAACTCACAGTGATCCTCCTGCCTCAGCCTCCCTAGTGCTGGGATTACAGGTATGCACCACCATGCCTGGCTTAGAATTTCTTCTTGACTGATTCAGAATAGTGAATCTGAAGGGAACACTTAGTGCTTATAGAAAACATTAATTCAATCTAGAGTGGTGGTTGCAAACCTCTTTTACCAGGTGTTAATGTAGCCAGAGACTTTTGGTATGCAAGTCTTCCCTTGAAGCTTGAACTATATAAATCTTTGCCTTTAGCTATTCTTACTTGTTCTGTAGTCTCTGCCTCTGTTCTGTTCATTCCAAGCTTACACATGCATTTACTTAATTAAATATTACAGCTGGCATAGTGGCACATGCCCATAGTCCCATCACTTGGAAGGCTGAGGCAGGAAGACCACTGCATTCAAGGACAGCCTAAGCTACATAGTGAGTTCAAGGTCAACCTGGACTACATAGCAAGACCCTGACTCAAAAGAACCAAACAAACAAGCAAACGAATACTGAGCCTTTACTTTGTGCTAGATCCTGTTGTAGGTACTGAGGATACAGTAGTGAATAAATGTGCCCTCATGGAAGTTACAATCTCCAAGAGACAGAAAATAAACTCAGTAAATAAGTGAAATATATAGTGTTATGTTGCAGTAAGTGCTTTGAGGAAGAACATTACAGGGAGGACTGGAATGTGTGTATGGGCTGACCGTGTGAAGATGAGGGGTTGAAATTTTAGGTACAAAGGCCAGAACTAGCTTTGAGAACATGGATAGGGTGAAGGCCAAGAGTAAGGTAAGGAGCTAGTCATGTGGATACGAGCAGGAAAAGCATGGCAGACAAATGGAACAAATTAAAAGGCTTATGGAAGTATATCTGATGTCTGAGGAACAGTCAGGGAGACCGTAGTACCTGAGATCAGAAGGGCTGGAGAGCAATAATGACTGGGATGTTTAGGAAGCATTTTGACTTTTGTTCTGATATGGAAATCACTGGTGTAGAAGTGTGTCATGATATGACTTACTGGTTTAATGGGATCATTCTGATCATGTACGGGTGTTGCGGGTTTTAGGAAGGACTTTACCTTTTGTTCGGACACAATTCAACTTAGCGGTTTAATGGGTTCATTTTGGTAACTGTTGAGAAAACAGAAAAGGAGGGCAAGAGTAGAATTGGGGAACCAGTTATGAACTCTGGTAATTTAGGCAAGGAATAGTGCCTTGGACCAGAGCTCTGGCAGTGGATAGTAGTGAGAAGTGTCAGATTTTGAATGTGTTGTGATGAAAAACCAGTAAGTTTTAGTGATGCTCTGGACTTGGGGAATAAAAGAAAAAGGACAGATGACACCAAAGTTTTTGGCCTGCTGGTCTAGAAGAATAGGGTTGCTATTAAGTTTTCATCCTTCTCTTTACAGTCAGAAATCACTTTGGGATTCCCTTATTAAGGGCTTTCTAGTCTGAATATCCTTCCTCTATAGGTTGGCATTTTAATTGTTTCATTATTTTAATCCAAAGAATTGTTTGACTCTTTCTATACCTTTTTTGCGTACTTATACAGTGGACCCTCAAGTTACTACTGACCTGACATACAAATAACTTGGATTATGACCGGAATTTTAGTTTTAATTTACAAACAGAGTCTTGAGTTATGACCCGAATGCTGGCTGCTATGCTTCTGTATCTGGTCTCTGATATAGATTTAACCCTGAAAGAGTTCTGGAAGGAATATGACAGCATCCCTTCTGGTGTGGGGTTAGTTGAGAAATCCTGGGCCATTGTCTCTCTAAGGACACTGAGAGCTGCCTAGGAGAAAGTGTGGCCTAAAATTATATAGGAGAGAGACTTTGAAGGCACCTGACCAACTGGAGTTATAAGCAGCCCTCAGGAATGAATTAAGTTTGTAAGTCAAGGATCCACTATGTATACAAATGAATATGGAAAGATCAAGTATTTTTTTTCTTTTTGAGAGCCAGAGTTTTGTTGTGTTTCTCAGACTGGCCTCAGTCACCTTACCTGAAGCAGTTCTTCTGCCTCGGCCTCCCTGCTAATTTGGATTGACAGTCATGTTACTGTGCCCTTAGGTTCATATTTTCATTTGCTTGCCACTGACCAGTGAAAGGAGGGCATATATTTTGCTAAAGAAGAAAGAAGAGTTTATTCTTGGCTACCTCTGAGGCAGTGGAAGGGCCTGTTTGCCTCAAATCACTATTTCCCCTTGTACGTGTGGGTAAGGGACTTTTACGGTAAGGAACAGGAGGAAAGGTATCCTAGAGAGATACTTGCTTTATTGCTTCCAGCCATCTTCAGCTCATTGTCCCCTTTCATGTGGAAAGAGAACTGGGCTCTGGGTCTCCTGGTGTCAGCATCTGCATATTCTGTCACTTCTTTTGGGCTGAGGAGAGGATTTGTTTTTTGGGGGGATTTTGCACTTGCAAGGCAGGTGGCGGAGCCACTGACCTAAATCCCTGGCGTGAATTTTATTTTTCTTAAATTTTGTCTTTATTAGTACGTGTTTGCAGTACATAATGTTTACATTCCTTGTGTAGAGTATAAAAAATTTCATTCTTTTTTGCTCCCTTTCCTTCCCCTTCTTTCTCTCCCTATTCCCTCCCTCTGTCTTGACTGCCTTCCCTTTTGAGAAAGATCTGCCTTACTTCCTACATCTATCTTTTGTTTTGCTTTTTATTTATTTGTTTTTGTTATTTCTGGTACCAGGTATCAAAATCAGGACCTTGAGCTTGGGAAGCAGGTGCGGTACCACTGAGCTAAATTCCTGGCCCCTTGCTTTTTA